GCCTCCCAATGTGCTGGGGTAACAGGCATGAGCCACCACGCCCAGATAAAAATTTTTCATCAGAGCTAAGATGTACAGAAGTGTAGCTTTATTTCTCTACAATTGAACATATCTTACATTTTAATTTCCAGTGTTGCCAAAAAACTTAAGCTCATCAATTCAAAACAACTGAGTCACAGATTTAAATTTGATTGATTCAAGACTCTTCCCACTCTTCTTCCGTGTGATCCATAGTAAATTAAGTTTCAGAGGGATTACATAAAACTATTATATCATTGAATGTAGCATCTAGTCTAAGACTGTTTTCTGTTCACATGGCCTCAGGCATGACTTCTGTCATTGGTTTCATTAATTATGTGCTGGTCTGCACTGCCTATCACCATGGACCTGCCAGGGCACTCAGCAGTGAAGTCCATGTTGTCCATGCTCTTCTTGGATCAACTCCAGATATCTAGGAATCCCTTACATCATGTTCATCAGGTTCTTGGCACAATGGTATATAGTAACTTTGTGGGTATTTCCCAGCTCTGCGCAGGGTGCTCACTCAGGTGTTTCTCTCACAACACAGCTTTTATCCATTGCTTCTTTCCTACTCAAGTGCGAGATTAGATATTTATCCCTGATCTGCGCCTGCACTGGACATCAAAGCATAAGACCCTCTCAGCCCTGGGGAGAGCTTTTTCCCTCTGGAGCTCTGTTCATTGCTCACCCACATCACAACATTAACTCAAGTCAAATCTCTTCCCAAAACCGTTTTCTTCCATCGGGCTGATGGTTTCCTTCCTGGTTTTGATTCTTGATATGCAAAAACAAGTTTTTATACATTTGTTTCTTTCCTCTCCATGGGCCAGTCTCTGTCCCTTCCCCTATAAGCTACAATTCTGCATCATTTAATGTAAATTTCCTGTGTTTTTTATTTTGCAAATTTGCATTTGTATACGTGCATTTAGTGTCAATCTCATAAATGGTTTTATGTTCTTTATCTTATTCAGTATTAATGTTTTCATTCATCCCTGTGCTTTTAAACATTGTCCATCTTTTTATGTACACATCTAATCTCATTTTTCTGATTGCTGCATACTGTGTAAGTGGGCTTCATTATGTTACCTAGTCTACTGCACATTTGATTTTTTGCCTGTTCACTCCTCCAGGGATGGAAATGTAGAATACCTCCAGATCCATACCTATGTATTGTTCAGTTGTTCCAGCTATGACTAAGAAATATCCCTTCATTTATTCAAATCTTCTAAGTCCTTTACATTTCAATCCTTTCCCATAGAGCTCTTTTTATTCTTGATTAAGCTAATTTCTAAAGCTTTCATGCTTTTGTTGCTATTGCATCTTATATTTTTATTACATTTTCTAGTTGACTATTGCTCATATAGAAGAATGCTGTTTTTATGTGCTTTATTGCTATCTATATATATTCTTTGGTTATGTGTCTCTGCACATACCTTACCTAATGTGTAATTGGGTTATTTTCTTATTATTGGGTTTGAGAGGTCTTTATACAGGCATGCCTCAGAGATATTGTGGGTTCAGTTTCAGACCACTGTAATAAAATGAATAGCTCAATAAACTGTGTCACACAAATTCATTGATTTCCCAGTGTGTATAAAAGTTATGTTTGGCTGATGCACTGGCTCAAGCCTATAATCCCAACATTTTGGGAGGTCGAGGTGGGAGGAGTTCTTCAGTTCAGGAATTCAAGACCAGACTGGGCAACATGGTGATACCCTGTATCTACAAAAAATACAAAATTAGCTGGGCATGGTAGTACACACTTGTAGTCCCAGCACTTGGGTGGCTGAAGTAAGAGAATTGTTTCAACTGGAGAGGTGGAAGTTGCAGTGAAAATAGTGCCACTGCACTCCAGCCTGGGTGACAGAGTGAAACCCTGTGTCCAAAAAAATATATGCTGGGCGTGGTGGCTCACACCTGTAATCCCAGCACTTTGGGAGGCCAAGGTGGGTGGATTAGGAGGTCAGGACTTCGAGACCAGCCTGGTCAACATGGTGAAACCCCATCTCTACTAAAAGTACAAAAATTAGATGGGTATGGTGACAGGTGACTATAATCCCAGCTACTTGGGAGGCTGAGGCAGGAGAATCATTTTAACCCAGGAGGCAGAGGTTGCAGTGAGCCGAGATTGCGCCATTGCATTCCAGTCTAGGCGACAAGTCAAGACTCCATCTAAAACAAACAAACAAACAAACAAAAATTATGTTTACACTATACAGTAGTCTATTAAGCATGCACTAGCATCATGTCTTGGAAGTATTAATACATAATTTTAAAATATGGCTAAAAATACTAGCAATCATCTGAGGCTTCAATGATTATAATATTTTTTCTGGTGGAGGGCCTTGCCTCAATGTTGATGGCTGCTCACTGATCAGGTTGATGGTTGTTGAAGGCTGGGGTGGCTGTGGCAATTTCTTAGGACAAGGATGAAGTTTGCTTCAGTGACTGATTCTTCCTTTCACAAAAGGTTTTTCTGTAGCATGTGATGATGCTTGATATCATTTTGCCCAAAGTAGAACTTCTTTGAAAATTGGGATCAATCCTCTAAAACCTTACCTCTCCTTTATGAACTAAGATTATGTAATATCCTAAATACTTTATTGTCATTTCAACAATGTTCATAGCATCTTCACCAACAGTAGATTCCATCTCAAAAATCACTGCCTTTGCTCACCCAAAGGGACAACTTCTTATCTGTTCAAGTTTTATTGTAAGATTGCAGCAATTCAGTCACATCTTCAGGCTGCCCTTTTAATTCTGATTCTTTTGCTATTTTCATGACATCTGCAGTTACTTGCTCTACTAAAGTCTTCAATCCCTTAAAGTTATCCGTGAGGTGGATTCCTCCTTCCTCCAAACTCCTGTAAATCTTGGTATTTTTACCACCTCCCATGAATCACAAATGTTCTTAATGGCATATGGAATGGTGAATCCTTTCTAGAAGTTTTTCAGTTTACTTTGCCCAGATGGCTCATAGGAATCACTATGGAAGCTATAGCCTTACAAAATTTATTTCTTAAATAATAAGACTTGAAAGTTGAAATTACTCCTTAATCTATGGGTTGCAGAACGGATGTTGTGTTAGTAGGCATGAAAACATTAATCTCCTTGTACACCTCCAGCAGAGCTCTTGAGCAACTAGATGCAGTGTCAGTGAGTAATAATATTTCAAACACAATCTTTTTTCTAGCATTGGGCCTCAACAGTGCACTTAAAATATTTAGTAACCTATGTTGTAAACAGATGCACCTTCATGTGGGCTTGTTCTTTATTTATAGAGTACAGACAGGGTTGACATAGCATAATTCTTAAGGGTGCTGGGATATTCAAAATGATTAATAAACATTGGCTTCAACTTAAAGTCACCAGCTATATTAGCTACTAATAAGAGAGCCTGTACTTTGAAGCCAAGCATTAACTTCTTTCTAACTGTGAAAGTCCTGGATGGCATCTTCTAATAGAAGATTATTTTGCCTACACAAAAAAAAATCTGTTGTTTAGCATAGCTACCTTCAGTCATGATCTTACCTGGATCTTTTGGATACCTTGCTGCCATTTCTGCATCAACCCTTGCTGTTTTACCTTGCACTTTTATGTAATAGAGCTGGATTCTTTTCCTTAACCCTCATGAACTGACCTCTGCTAGCT